TCTCTCTCTCTTTTTTAATCAAACTAAGGGGATCTACAGTTTCTTTTCTTTCTTTTGATCAGGGAGCTACTGTAGTTGTCCTCTATCTTGTTTTTCTTCTTTCTGGAGGGAAGAAAAGTTTTCTTATGTTAGGGCCTTGAATGGGCTGAGCCCTGGCACAATCCTGGAGGGACCATTGGCTGGCACACCTCTCTTGCCCCTGCACAGTGGCATGAGAGCTCTGGGGCCAGGGTGCTTTGACCTACCTGCGTCTCTCATGCCAGCACTAATGCCAAGGCATGGAGCCAGCAGGGAGCGCCATTTAAGAAATAACTGACACTCTTGAGAACAAATGATTTACCCAGGTTTGCTTTGTTATTTTTGCCCAGACAGTATTTTTTCCGTGTGTTCCCAGCATACAGGTAGTGGGCTTTTAGATCCCAGGGTAAGACCCAAATAAGGGAGATGTTGGTTGGCAATGGGAAACCCCTGAGGGCTCTGGCCTGAACAGCTTGCTCGTCCTCACCAGAAAAGACAATTTGGGCATGTTCAGCAAATTGTAGGGCTTTCCTTGGTCCTTGTGTTGTTGTTTTTAACTTCCTTTTAAAATTGAGATGTAATTGACATGAAACATTGTGTCAGGTGTACAAAGTGTTGATTGGATACATTTACATATCGCAGTAGCTCCGTAGCTTTAGCCTCCAGCTTTACTTGTGCCATGTTGGCCTGTTAAGTCACATTCGCACCTCCAGCCATTTCTCTTCCCAGTTTGTTTACTGTCATTGGATACTTAGTGTTGTCAGCTTGCTGCTCAAGAACGGTGAAGTGGGTGGATATTTTTAGAGTACAGCATCTAGAACCATGCTGGCATGTAGTAAACATTGTATTTGAGTTTGTTTCATAAAAATAAGAAGTTTTTCCTACTTTCAAAGAACTTACCATATAGTTGGAAAGATAAAAACCCACCAGCACAGAGCACACTATGGAAAAAAATGCTACTCAAGAGGCAGGGCGAGAAGAGGCAAGACCCTATCTTCTTTTTTTAATTTTTTTATTTTAGAGAGCAAGCATGTGAGTGGGGGAGAGGGGAAGAAGGAGAGAGAGAATCTTTAAAAAAATTTTTTTTTACATTTATTTATTTTTGAGAGACAGAGCACTAGTGGGGAAGGGGCAGAGTGAGAGAGAGAGAATCCAGAGCAGGCTCCAGGCTCTGAGTTGTCAGCACAGAGCCTGACATGGGGTTCGAACTCACAAACCATGGGATTGTAACCTGAGCTGAAGTCGGACGCTCAACCGACTGAGCCACCCAGGCGCCCCAGAAGCAGAATCTTAAGCAGGCTGCACACTCAGCACAGAACCCAATGTGGGGCTCCATCTCATGACTTCGGATCATGACTTGAACCAAAATCAAGAGTAGGATGCTAGGGGTGCCTGGGTGTCTCAGTTGGTTAAACATCCAACTTGATTTGGCTCGGGTCATGATCTCACGGTTCATGAAATGGAGCCCTGCTTCAGGCTCTGCGCTGACAGCACAAGCCAGCTTGGGACTCTCTCTCTCCCTCTCTGTCTGCCCCTCTCCTGCTGGCACATGTGTGCTCTCTCTCAAAATAAACATTCAAGAAAAAAAAAAGAGACGCTTAACTGACTGAGCCACCCAAGCGCCCGAAGAACTATCTTCTGTGTGCTCTCCTCAGGTCACCTCATTTATTCATCTAAACAACCAGCAATTCCTCCCATTTTGTGGTTCATAAATTGAAGTCAATAGGCGCAAAAGGCCTTAAAGTCCTATAAGGTCATGTGTGTAATAGCAAGATTTGAACACAGAGCTGTGTGAACTGAAAGCTCCCATTACCACCAGAAAGAATAGAGAAAGCTTTGAAAGGAGGCTGGTGCTGGACCTTGAAGGATGGATAGAATTTACCAAATGGAGAGAAGTGGGGGGCACATACAGGTTGTAGGGGGCAGGGAAAGGGGTGGGCACAGCATGGGCAAAGGTGTAGCCTTGGGAAGCACGAAGCGTGCTTGGGAATGGCAGGTGTTCCCCAGGTGTGCTAGCATAAGGGAGGAGTGACAGACAAAGCTGGAACATGGGTTGGAGGCAGAGCATCCTGGGCCTGGAATTCTGAGTTCGGGCTTTATTTCATAACCCATTTTACAGCCTATTGAAGGTATTTGTGAAAGGGAGTGACATGGTGACAAGTCTTGTCATGGTGACTTAAGTTCAGGTGGGATATGGAACGGGCTGGAGAAACAGAGGGGCTGCTGTCATGGAAGCTAATGTGTGAGGTACATAGATATGGTGCATTATGCCATTCAGCCTCACAATACCCCTAAGGGATGGGCACTGGTAATATCCCCATTTTCCAGGTGGGCAAACTGAGGCATTGAGAGGTTAAGTACTGACCAGCCTACCACAGTGAATAATGATGTTGCCAGGATATAAACCACCTGTGCTGCCTCTGTATGCCACAGCACCTGAGGAGACGTCCGGGGGCCATTTTAACAGGTCGTGTGTGATAGTCCAGGTGGCGAGGACTGAACTAGTTCAGTAGTGATGGAAAAGGAGAGATGGGAGCAGCAGTGCGAAACACCATCGTATGTGAGCCTGATCCCAGGGCTGGACCTGTAGCTTCATGGCTTCTGTTTATGTAGTGTTTCCCGCGGAGGCTGGTGCTCAGTGGCGAGAGCGTTGCCGAGACCGTGGGGCAGCATGGACAACCTCGCCTCCAAACTTCCTAAGTAACTTATTTTAGGCTTCTTGTTTTTCCTGAGGAAATGTATTAATCTAAAAAAGCAAGTGCTGAGGTTGGTGTTCTTGGTTTGAGTTACTTTTAAGACCATGTAAGCAAACTTCCAGGTGTTCTCAAGCATCTCAGGCTTTCATTTCTAGCGTTTGAGACAAGGAGGTGGCTCCAGAGGGCTGGGGGTGATCAGATCTCCCTTTTGCCCATGAACCTCCTCCCTCATCTGCTTCTCTTGATATGTTCCCAGTTACTTCCCTGTTTTGCTATTGTATGGGTTGACATATAAAATTATTTAATTTGTTTTACTTTTGTTTCTAATTTTTTTAAGAGAAAGGGGGTGCATGCATTTTGACTCTGCAAAGCTTTTGACACGCAGTTAAATGAACCTATAATTCATATGTGCTGAATGCCATGGTGACTGTGTAGGGCAGTGTGGGCCAGCCCAGTGACCTCTGTGCTCTGTCTGTTGCAGGTGATAAGAAGTACATCATGGGGCCCAAGCTTTCTACTCTCGATGCCACTGTCTTTGGACACTTGGCACAGGCAATGTGGACCTTACCTGGGACAAGACCTGAGCGGCTGATCAAAGGCAAGCCCTACAAACCTCTTCAGGTCTTGGGAGTCGCTGTGGGGTGAAGGCAGGGGTAACACAACAGAGAATTCTAGGCCATTGCCTGTGAGCTTGACTGTGCTTTATGGAGACATCAGGCTGTCGTGTCCAGGGCCAGGGTCAGTTTATTGTGCTTAGGATATGTAGGGGTTGAGGAGACACTGGGCTTCTTACCTGCCATCTTGCGTCAACAAGGTTGATACAAACCGTACCGTGTTTTACACCAGGGCTTTTCTTTCAGCTCCTTACATAGTGGACTTAACACTTGTTGAAACAGGGCTTGCATTCCACCTCATGCACTTGTCTTGTTGGTCTTCCTTAATTTCCTTTGGACAGTGGTGGCTCACCACTTTCTGGTATATCCAGTGCTGCAGTAACCATGGTGGGGTGGGGCTGATGGGGCTCACTGCCCATCTCGAGGCTCCTTTTGAGTCTGAACTGGTCTCACATATTTCACATGTAGGTATAGGAACATATGTTTCTGTGTCATTTGACTTCAAAACATTCTTTTCTCCCCTTCCAGTGGGTGTCTGTAGATGATCCATTGAGAGCAGTAGAGCTAGTAAGTTCAAGCAGTAAAAATGGAGACAATGTTAACCAATGTTTTGTAAGCTTGGTTCTATGCAAAATATTGTTATTATTATTATTAGTAGTAGTTAGTAGTAGCTGTAGCCCTAGTAGTAGTACATTTTAGCCAGAGAAACACAGCCTTGTGTCTCTGTTGTGTGATCTTGGCTGTAAGGCCTACCAGAGTTAACTTATAGTTGGAGGGGTGGAGGTGAGGATGAATGGGACCAGCCTAGAGGATGAATATATGTGTGGAGGTGAAGGTAGGGGTGTTAAGCCAGGAGTAAAATTCACTTTAGCAAGGGAGCAGGGAAAGTGAGCTCAACGTGGTTTGATGTCAAGGGACCAGATCTTGATGTGTGTGTGGGGAGGGCGGTGCAGACTGAAGTGGGGGGATGCACATGGCAGCTGGGCCATCTGGGAGAGTCTTCCCCTGTGTTGGTAGATGGGAGCTGTTTGGAGTCATCTCCACTTAAGTGCCTCGGGCCTGGGGATGTGGGGATCAAAGTCCGATATTTGGGTTTGGGAAAGGGTGTGACAGAGTTGACCAAGGTATTTATACCCCAACTGAGTAGGTTGGGGGTATAGATGAGATCACCAGTGAATAGTATATAGAATGCTTTTAATGTTGGGTGGATGGATGGTTGGAACCAAGCAAGGCAGAATCATATAAGAAACTAAGGCAGGTAAACACTCATGTGTGGTGGTCATAGGTGAGTGGATAGGAAGGTTGGTGAAGGCTGAAGTTCTGTGTGTGCGTGTGTGTGTGTGTGTGTGTGTGTGTGTGTTTATTCATGTGAGGCCCAGAAGCCCAGACCAGGGCATGGACAGCAGGAGTCATTCTCCAGATCCTCATATTGGTGGTGGTGAGGCTTTAGATACATTACCAAACGTGGTTGAAATGGAGGAAGCATTGACTGAAGGTTTTCCAGAACTTCAGCTGAGTGAGGGTAGGAATAGTATGGACTGATACTTAATTTCCTAAATGATCAACATGGAGATATTCCTTGTCTTGTGATGTGTTGGAACTTACGATACTTATAGTATTTAAAATAGTTTCCCTTTATTTTAATCAGATTTTCCAAGGTCACCTAAAATATATTGGTTCCCTTTAGTTAATTTAGAGGTTTGTTTTATATCTACTTTCTGTTCCTATTACTTCCTGCTCCCTCTCTTCATTTTCCTAGCACACCACTCTTACACACCTATGTACACACATCACCACCTCTGCTCACATACTTTTATACACACACATCCCATACACTTGTACACAGACTTACATTTGTACCCAAGCGTACACACACACACACGCGCGCGCGCGGCTGAGGTCATCTGGCATTTAGTCAGAGCATTTAGGTATTCACTATCAGTAGAACTCTCAAATTCTATAGAATCCCTTCTTGTAGGAATAAAGCATCTTTATGTTAAATTATTTATGACTTGGCCCTTTTCTCTTTTACTTCCTGGAAGGACTTGAAACATTTAATGTTATTTTTAAAGAAATGACCAGCCTTTTTGGAGGATTGGAAGATGAGAGGATTGATTTTGAGTCACCCAAGACCCACACATTTGGGGGAATCTGACACCATCGTCTGTGAGGGACTTTGGCACACAGTTTCATGTACTTTGATTCTTAAACAAGGTAGCAGCTTCCAATTCTCCCTGGGGACTGGTATAGCATGAGTCATTAAAGTCCACAGAGGGTCTCTAGGGGCACGTGGGAGTCTGGTTAAGGATTCAACTTCAGCTCAGGTCATAATCTCATAGTTCGTGGGTTCGAGCCCTGCATCTGGCTCTGTGCTGACAGCTCAGAGCCTAGAGCCTGCTTCAAATTCTGTGTCTCCCTCTCTCTCTGCCCCTACTCTGCTCATGCTCAGTGTCTGTCTCTCTCAAAAATGAATAAACATTAAAAAAAAGTCCACAGAGGGTCTTTAAATCTCATTTTGGTCATTGATTTCATGCCCTTCTAAATCTTCTGATTGGAGCTGCTAATAGACTAATATTTTGGTCTCAACTTCTTTCTCTGCCTTTGTTCTTTCTGTGGTGGAGACTTTCCCAAGAAGTAACAAGAGGAAGGAGAAGCAGAAACAACTAAGAACCTGTATGATTTAGAACTGGCTCAAATCCAGGAACGTGAATGGCTTAGATCAGGCAGTTTTCTGCCTAGCTTTGGAACAGCCAGGGCACTTTTGGCCTTGCTACATGTGTGAATGTGTGAGTGTATATATGCATAAATATTAGCTTTTGGTCCTAGATATTAATTACAGTAGGGAGCCACAGAGGCTGCTTCTGGAGCCATCTAAAGTAGGGAGAAACTTGCCTTAATTTAGGTGAGTAGGAGGACAGACTTTGAATATTCAACAGTTCTCAAAATATACATAAGTATGTGTTTGCATATATATAGATGTAGATATATGAAATATTATTTCCTTGCTGGAGAGAATCTAGAAAAAATAGAAAAGTTAAAAAAAAATAACTTGTGTCCCTGTCACCCACAGACAACTGTTAATATTGTGGTATGTATCCTCATCTTTCATCAAATACATGTATGTATATATTTTTCAAAATCAGGATCACGGTATTGATACAGTTATAAACCTATAAATTTTAATTAACTGTGTCTTCATTTCTCTTGTCATTCAGTGTACCTTAAAACAATATGTTTAGTAGTTGCATAATATCCTGTATCCTATGGCTACACTGTAATTTATGTGATTAATCTTTTTCTGGTCTCATGGGTTATTTCACATACTTGTTTACCAATATTCCGAAGTGACTGTTGTATAAATATATATTCTTGCTTATCTCTGGTTATTTCCTTAAGCTAAATTTGTAGTTGGGGAACTTCTGTCTCAAAAGGTATAAGCCCTTGGTCTGTATGGCTAAACTGCTTTCTAGAAAGACTGTAGCAGTTTATATTCTTGTGAGTACCGTCTGAAAGTACCTCGAATTTTGTTCCCCAATTAAGATTGTATATAATTTATTTTGAAATTTTTGCCATTTTTCCAGTAAAGAATCTCAGTTTTACTCTCAGCAAATTCCTCCTGTAGAGTCCCATTTGACATTTTGTTCAGAGTGTCCTTTTTAGGGAATTGCATGTGGATCTGGGCACTCTTTGAAACAGACATGGAACACTACAGAGGCTGGAAAAGTGGACAGAAGTGCCAGAAGGGAAGGAGTTCTGCGACCTGTCTGCCCACCTTGTAGCATGTAGCAGGCCCACAGCACGATGCTATTTTTCTGGATGTGTGAGAACCACAACCTTCTTGTGCTGAGAAACACTTTATTCATTAGCTCTTTTACCAGCAGTCATTTGTTACTGTTGGGTGACTTTTTGCTTCTTATTTGATTAATTGAAAGGTGGAAGAAATGCTGGATATCCTTGAGAAATAGCTGAGTCTATCCCCACCCCCCCACACTTACTGTTCTCCGTCTGGAAGTGTTCAGCAAGAGGTCTGGTCTCAGGAAGAGGATGGCTCAGATGACTTTTGTGGGTATTTGTATTTTGAGATCTACGAATTTGTATCCTTTAGCTTCAAGGAGATGAGGGGAAGGTGGTGTCCTCATCACAGCATTCAAGTTTGTTTTGAACTTAAAAAAATTTTTTTTATTAAATATTTTTAAATGTTTATCTTTGAGAGAGAGAGACAGAGCATGAACGGGGGAGGGGCAGAGAGAGAGGGAGACACAGAATCGGAAACAGGCTCCAGGCTCTGAGCCGTCAGCCCAGAGCCTGACGCGGGGCTTGAACTCACGGACCGCGAGATCGTGACCTGGCTGAAGTCCGACGCTTAACCGACTGCGCCACCCAGGGACCCCAGTGCTTTTAAACCAAACAGTAGAATTGCATTATACACATTACTTTGTAACTTGCTTTTTTTTTTTTTAAAAAATTGTTTTTTAATGTTTATTTATTTTTGAGAGAGAAAGGGAGAGAGAGAGAGAGAATGCAAGCACGGGAGGGGTAGAGAAAGAGGGACACACAGAATCTGAAGCAGGCTCCAGGCTCTGAGCTGTCAGCATAGAGCCCGATGCAGGGCTCAAACCCGTGAACTGTGAGATCATGACCTGAGCCAAAGTCAGGTGTTTAACCGACTGAGCCACCCAGGTGCGCCCTGCTTTTTTCACTTAATAGAATATCGTGTCTTTTTAACATCTGCAAAATATTATATAGAATTGATACACCATAATTTATTCAATCGGTCCCTATTGATGGACATTCAGGCTGTTTCCATATTTCTTTTCTTTCTTTTTTACTGACATAATGCTGTCGACGTTGGTATACATATATGTTTATAATACTAGTGCTTTTATTTTAGTAGAATAGAGAACTAAAAGTGGAGTTTTGGGCCAACAGATACATTTAAAATTTCAATAGATGACATCAGATTACTTTCCAAAAAAGGTTATAGCAATCTTATAATTCCACCAGACATGTGCTTACAATGCCTGACCCTCCACATTGGATGTTATCAAATCTTAATTTTTACCAGTTTGATGGATGAAATTGTTACCTGATTATTGAGTACACTTTAAAAAAGTCAGTTTTTCCATTATTTCACAAAGTTTACATCCTCAGCGTAGGCATTTGTGTTGACAAAGGAATATCTCGCACACACACACAAAGCCATTTTCTACTGCCAACTTTTTCTATTCTTTTGGCTGGGACATGTTGAGTCCGCTGATGGAGAATCTAGGCACAGAAGGAATTGGCAAAGCCAGACAGAATTGGCAAAGTCAAACATAAAATTTCATTCTTCGTTCTACTCTTTTTTATCAGTGGCAGGAAATGAGGATGGGTTCGTGAGCTCCTAGTTTTTGCTTATCAAAGCAAACTCTTTCTGGACTGCATGATAGAATGATCACTTCTTGACAACTCATTATCTTTGAGGGGCAGCACCTATCCCCTCATAATTCTTAGTACCCCGGAGAGAATTTGAGAAAAATAATCTGTGACAGGGAGTGTGCATCTATGAATTCTCAAGTCAGGCTGTGAGATCACCAGTGGGGGGGGGGGGAGAGGGGAGAGAGAGAGAGGGAGAGAGAGAGAGAGAGGTGGTTGGTGGTGAAGGGCATGGAGTCTGGAGACTGCTGGTGTTTAAATCTTGGCTCTGCCACTTTCTTACTGTGTGACCTTAGGCAAGTTAATTAACCTCTCTGTTGCTTCAGTGTTCTCATGACAGATGGGGATCATAATAGTTCCTGCCTCATAGGGTTGTTGCGAGGACTAATTCAACAGATGCATAAAAGCACTTCAAACAGTGCCCGGTACACAGTAAGGGCTATTTGTATGTTTGCTATTATTACTTTTTATTATTGCACACTGAAGTGGTATTAATGTCACATAGTACAAAGGCAGGGCGGCTCTCCTGGAAGAAAAGTGAAGAAACAGGTGGTGGAAAAAACAGCCACAGAAGAAGTGGATAGAATCGTATATGTTGTAGATCCTGTGGCTATTGGGAATAGATTCTGACTTTCTAGCTGCTCCCTAAACAGCTCATAGGGAATGGACGTGATTGAGGCAAACACGGCTGTCCCCAGACCCTGCTATGAAGTGACCATAATCCATCTCTGATTGCCACCTCCCACCAAACCTTGGTGCCGCCTCCACATCTTTATCCGATTCTTGGTTACCAGTGACTGGGAGCCATACCTACTGAGGTGTTTCATGACTGCTTTCCTGAGGGAGGATCTAAGTGAAGGTTTGGCATGCATCTTTTTAAGGAGCAATCCTGTGGCTCCTTGGCTTCTGGCTCCGGGGCGTGTGTGTAAACTCTTCGAGGAAGGGGCAATCAGAATGGGCGCATATATGGTATGAGTTGAACTGTTACGATCTGAGACAACTGAAAATGGTGACCTGCAACCAATCCTGGCTCACTGCTTGATAGGATCTGTGAAGTAGGGGGATTTGCTTCGTTACATTTTACAGGAGATGTGCTTATGTAAGCAGAACAGCAATCAAGTTTTGAAAAATTTTCATGGGAAAATGTATATAACAACATCATACGAAGTAACAGGAAACATTAATAATGACAATAAATAGAAAACATACTGAAAAAGTACATCAAAACGCTACTGTGATTACCTTGGATTGACGAGATTATAGGGGGCTTTTGTTTTCTTCTTTATGGCGTTTCTATATACAGACTTCTGATCTTCCAAAATGAGAATGTATTATCTTCTTTGATAGAAAATAAAATAGAGTAGTTAAAGACTATAGTCAGTAGACCTGTTAATGTAGAAACAACCTAAATGGCCTTGAAGGGGGTGTGGTAAAAACAAAATGAAACTATGGTACATCTGAATAATGAACTGCTGTGCAGTTATCAAGGTGATAGTGTGAAATTGACAGTTTTTCATTTTATGTTGTTAAGTGGAAAAAAGTAGCATAAGGGACAATATATAGCAAATGCTAAATAGCAAATGTAAATATATGTAAATGTATATCCAAGGATATAAACAGAAATGTTAATATGGTGAATGTGATTATTGGTAATTCTTTTGTTTTCTGTGTGTTGGTATTTTCTAACATTCTTCAATAAAACCTGGGTTACCTCTATAATAAGTAGATGTTTATATAACTTAAAAAAAAAAATCCAAGGAATATTCTTAGGGCAATGAAGTCCGGTAAGGGAGTGCCAGATCATGTATTCGTAAGCAATAGTGCCATCTGGTGGATCAAAGGCAAAAACTCACCCTCTTTATTTTTCATTTGGAATTTGGAAATGAAAGTCAATTCTGTGTCACGTTTCAGACAAATGCCGGGACAATTTTAGCAACTTAACAGAAGTGTTCTTTTGATTCACAGGAAAAAGAAGTAGCCCAGTAACTGAGTTGGGAACCTAATTATAAGTATAGCCGTTCAATTTTATTTAAAAAAAAAAAAATCTGTTTTACTAAATGTGCCTGGGGGGGGGGGCACACTCATCCGTAGACAATTCTGAATTATCCATTTTATTTAGGATCATTTAGGGCAAAATTTGCATCTTAACATAACTTTCTTCAACGACGTGGCATAGAACCCAGCCCTTAATAGCACCACCAATATTTGTGGAAAGAGGAATTACTTCTGGCTGGCTGACCTCGCGGACAGTTGGTGGATTTACATGGGGCATAACTTAATTTAAATATGAACCAGTGGAAGTTCCAGTTCTCTTGATAAGCAAACACAAAATACTAAAATGCTTGACAACG